CCACCACAGTAAGAACTGCACCAAAACCTTTGAGCTAAGAATCAGCACAATCACTGAACTAATGATCCATAAAAGTATATCCATAGACTGATGAAACCGGTATAGATAATCAATATACTAAAARGAAGATAAGATTGGCTCTGGTGGATTGATTCTATTCTGAAAATGTGAGCTAATCTCCAATCTGGTTTGCTTAGTTAATGGACAGAACATGTAATAAAACCTGATCAACTTAGAGAACCTGCATGGAATTTCATTAAACCTTATGATTGTAAAATTCTGCATAAACACACCAGGTACCAGGGTTGTGTGTCTTCATTTAGAATATTAAAATACACTTGCTTGAGAAAGTAAAATGGTTGTAGGCTCAAAACAGTGGTAACATAGCCATTTCTCCCTCCAGAAAGCAAAATGGTTGTAAGCTCAAACTGAATTCTTTCACTAATTTGGCAAAAGAGGAGTGAAAGACTATTTATAAACAGGAGTAGAGTCATTAAGGAGGAAAAAACCTTGTGTTATAACAGAAGCTGCTCAGTGGAAATTACAAAAGAGAGAAAATACAAATATCCACCAGGCTATCCTGTAGAATATTCTCCTATATTCTCTGCCATCTCGGGCATACATAATTGGGATTCAACTAAAGCCACAGTCACAGAAGAACAGGAATGGTTCATCAACTTAGGGTCTGCAGAAAATATAGGGATGCATGTGTATGGGCCTGAAGTTATGTTCACAAGGGCTCTGTTGATTTAGAGTTATGGAAAGACTTGTTGGATCTACTTGGAGACATTTTTTTGCTTTTTGACTCAGAATGTTCAYTCAATACTCTCCCTTCTTGTATATTCTCTTTTTTAACAGAGTTTTCTTTTCTTTACTAAAAATAAAAAAATAGTTATGCGGTTAAGGCTAACTTGGCCTGCATCAGTAAGAGGTTGTACCACCATAAGGTCCAGAACATAAGATAAGAGCGCCATGGTTGACCTTTTCACTGCTAACAGAAACTAGAGAAAAAAATTAAAAAAAAAAAAGAAAAAAAAAAGATACCTGTAGTTTCTGGAGACAGACACAACTCTTCCATATAGAGGGGAGAAAAGGCTAATTAATATGCCCAAAAGTTAGAGTTTTCCATTTTCTTGAGAATATTTCTGGGAACACATTCAATTGAGCGCTTCTTCAGGAAGCACTGCAGACCTTGCAAATTTAATCAAAGGTTTCTCCAATTTCTGGCTACTTTGTGGTATTTCCATTTTGATAACAACAAAAAGACAGAAATATAAAAAACACCTTAAGGCATGTCTACAAGCACATTTATATGCTATTTGGTATGAAATCTCAACATATGTCAAGACATACTCCACTTATATTGGATCTGTCCCCTACAAATCTTATGGGACAATTACAAAATGAAAAGGTTAAAACCATGAAAAGATAATTCAGAATCAAAGGATTTCAATATAAAACAATGATAAGAATAAACACAAACACACGCAGACTGGTGACCTCAAATGAACTAAGCTAGAAAGATTTTAATATAAGTAAGACTAAAAATATAAATACACATAAAAACCATGTTTTAGTAGTCATGGATCTCATGTCCCTGAYGTAATATGTTTAACTGCCATAGTCTATCTCAAAAAAGTAATTGTCTAATCAATTACCACCAAGAACCTCCTTCAAATGTTAATCCTCTCAATGCCCAAAGAGAAGCCACTC